GCTTAAATAAATGATTAGCGGTAATAAAAGCCGAGGGAGGTCAACAGTGATCACTGACTGTTTTAGGAGCTTTTTGAGATCAAATAGAAGAAAATGCATAACATTAAACATGTTAACAACAGAAAAACCATATTAAACGCAGACTACTTTAGACCCGGAAGTAGGATTCGTCGCGTCATCACTGAACAACCGGATACGCGCATCGCGGAAACGCCCCCTCCATTACTCGACACAAGCTTCGATGCCTCGATACAGAACGTCTCATCACTAGCTCTAACTTTGGCTCTTCTCCGACACAGGTAGGATGGCCAGTCCCACTGTCTCTTTTCCGTTACCAGCTGTCAAATTATTAATTGTATGTCAAATAACCTAATAAAAGACTCCATAAGAACTAATGTGTTTTCTTTATTACCCTATTTTAAATTCCTAATCCAACAATTAATCACTAACAATACCAACCAGGTAATGGAACCCCTGGTCTCCATTACACATCGGTTAAACACTAGACTCCAGGTACACAACGCCCAGCTGGAAACACTTCAGCTGCCCAAGATTCACAGAATTTACAGAAAATTTTTACATTTTTGTGATTTATATCGTTATTGGGATGATAGTTGTCTTATATCGGTCCCATCAGTCTGAAAGCATGCAGTTATAGTGGCACTGGCAAAGCCTGTAAAAACCCATCGTATTAACATCAAATTTTGGGATGACCTGGGAAAGAATGATAAAAAATTAAAAAAATTTCCTGCTATTCTCCTGTCCACACTTTACTCCAATAGGTGGCAGTAATACACCTGTAAGCTGGTTTGCCAACTACTATCAAGCTCAGAAAAATGAGAAGCAAGGAGGTGGAGGGCAAGTGTGGCTGTTCAAGTGGAGCAGTGTGAATAGACATGGCTGCTGTTTGAAGTGGACTGAAGTCGGAAGAGAGACACAAACTAAAGTATCGATCTGTGGATCTGATCCCAATGTCGGCTTCACGTCATCGATGCTTATATCGATCCGTCCAGCCTCAGCGGAAGCAGCAATGAGTTCAGTTCAGTATCTGAGAGAGTTCATCAAGGAGAGACTAACTGCTGTTTGTGAAGAAATCTTCTCAGAGGTTCAAAAAACCATCGTCCAGTATGAGGAGGAGATACACCGTCAGCACAGACTGCTGGATATCAGCCGGAAACCCGACAGACTCACACATCATAGGTATGGACATGTTTTTAACTGTTCACATTCTAATTTCCTGAACTGAAGTCAGAGCACTAACACATGAACATGGACAGAAACATCCTTTTTATTTCAGCTATTGCTGCAATTACTGATTTTTCAAGAGATCAGACATGTGAACCTCTGGTCTCTGGACTGCTCACAAAAGGAGCCTGCTAAACAACAATAACGGCTGGTTTTGAGCTAACTTTATGCCAGCTAATGTTAGGCTCGAGTGTCCTAAAACACACTTCCCCTCTAATAAACAGTTTGATTACAAAAAAAGAAAACAAAACACTACATTTTTGGAAA